CAGCGGACCAATGATCTACCTACAGCATTCTTTATCTAAAACTTCATTTTGTTATGCCTTTCCTTTTGCTTTTGTTGAAGCTTTTGACGCATAGACAAAGTATCATTCCCTTCTTTCTTTCCTAAAATTTAAAGAAAATAAAATAAAATTCCTTCATACGAGCTTCTTTTATTCTTTTTTGTTTTCCCAATTTGTTTGAGGGAAAAAAGAGAGAAATTTTGCTAGTACTGCTACTACTACTAAAGTACGTGAAGTGAGACGCGGTTGGAGAAATAGGATATGGGCCCACTAGTCAGGGCGTATTATTGTTGGGCTTCTGAGGGCCCATTTCTAACTCATTTTATATATTATTAGTCACTTGGCCTAGCACGCACGACTTGTCGCTGAGACGGCAAGTATTGCTCTAAGTGTCGGTTTGATTTTTTATTTTATTTTTTTAAACTTCTCTTCTTCTTTAAACAGAAGTTAATTCAACAAATTTTTATAAAAGCTCTTATAATGATTTTTTTATAATGAAAAAAATTAAAATTAAAAGCTCTTAGGAGGAGTGTTTCTTTAAGTTATATGAATCTTTTTTTTTGAAATTTGTGTTTTTTTTTAAATGAACAGCTTTTAAGTAATTTCTAAGCTGAAAAATTTACATAATCATCAAATAACTTGTAAATTTATTTTTAAAACAATTATTTTAACTTTAACTTAAAAGTAGTTTTTAACTTAAAAAGAGTAAATCCAAACAGACTCTAAGTACAAAACAATTAGTTTATACGTAAAGACGTGGAGATACACATGAAACGTATGAACGTACATGTCGGCAAGAATGCACCGACACATTCGATTTTACAAAAGATGTGTGTAGGACACCGACACGTTTCGACACGCGATCAATGCTTCGACACGTTCTGACACGCGGTCAAGGTTTTCCGACACGTTTTTTTTAATATTCAAATTTTATTTTATTTTAGCTTCTTAACTAAATATGAAAAATTAATTTATAACTCAAATATTTTTTATTATGAAATTTGATATCAAAAATTAACATGACATGAAAAATTATATTTGCTTTATATTTATGTTATGAAATTTGAATATTTGATTAGTTATATGATTTATTATGAATGCTATGTTTATTAAATGTAAAATATATTATATATATTAAAAATATTATTTAATATTAAAATATATTCTAAAGTGTCAAAATTTTAGAATTAATGTATTGGCGTGTTGTGTCGTATCTCATGTTCCATATCGATGTTGATGCAACATAGTATATCAGTCAAAACAATCACCAAACTTTTATTACAAAACATTTTCTTATCATTATTGGTTCAGTATTCGTTTAAAAATTAATCTAGAAAAATATCAAACTAATTACGTTTTATCCCAAGATATAATTTATAGGTTGGTTGATTGGTTGTTATTTGAGCTTTAATATGCGGAATAGAAGAAATGATTGTATTTATCAAAAAAAAAGAAAGAAGAAGAAATGATTGGTGGATAAGAGTTTCTTATATGTTGGTGAGTTTTCTATTGGTGTGAGTGCGACCACATGTTATGGTGACTGGTGTGTAAGTTAGAAACCCCTAGCGCAAATTTAACAAAGTTGATTCAATTTTGCAATTAGTCATGATTCCTAAGGAATTCATACATTACAAATTCTCAAATTTAATTCAAGTAGTTAAAATAAGTAAAGTAGATGTACTGTATAAAAAAAAAAAAATATTGGGGAAAAAATAAAATAAAAATGCATGGAGGAGAGAGATAAGGAAATGTGCAGAAGGGAGGAATATTCTGACAGGCTCTGTGAATGGGCCACGCAAAAGGGATATTCAGAAAGAAGTGGGACGATAGGGAAGAATATTACGGACACGCGTCTCGAGGATATTTTTTCTTTACTCTTTTCCTTTCTAAGAGAGAAAGAAAAAAAGAAAATAAAAGGAAGAATCCGAAGAAAAGGTGTGGGTTGGAGTGTAGCTTGTACGAGAAGACTGAAGTTGGAAAGCAACCAACCATTTTTGTTGCAGGCTCAGGGAATTCGATGCACTCTTCCTCTCACTTTCACACACACACAAAATTTACTTTTAATTTTTAATTGAAAATCCTATACATAATCTTTTGTTTGTGCATCCTATAAAGTATGAAATGCAAATATTTTAATTTTTAAACGAAGATGTATAGTATTTGTATTGGAACAAGATATCACATAATATTTCAGATTGTAAGGAAAAGTTTTAAGTCATACAAAATAATTGTGTTCGAATTAGTTTCGTACTATATTGATAGGAATAGGAGCAGTCTAACTCATTCGTTCTACAATGTTCTTGGGGGCGGTGACCAAAATGTCACGCTTTGGCAAAAAATTATCAGAATGTTACGCGAACAGTAAAATTTCTCAAACTGCCACGTGGCATAATTCGTTACACAGTGTAGCGAATTATGTATGCAAGTAATTCGCTACACAGTGTAGCGAAATATGCCACGTCAAAATGCACAGAACCAAAAAGTGTTATGGGTCAGAATTGTTGAGATTTCCTATATAGGGTAGCGAATTTCAACAATTTTGACACATGACATTTTTTGGTTCTGACGTGACATATTTCGCTACACTGTGTAGCGAATTACTTACATGCATAATTCGCTACACTGTGTAGCGAATTATGTCGCGTGATAATTTGGCAAAATTTACTGTTAACATGACAATCTGATAATTTTTTTGTCCAAACATGACAAAATGGCTAGTGTCCCTGTTCTCGGCCCATGTGCCAGAATGATGTTCGTATATACCGGCTTCTTCTTGCTTAATGAAGCTCATTATCAATGCATGTAAATGACATGTACGTTCTTATGTTATGCTGTTATCATTACAATTTGATATATATTACAATGGAAAAATTATTCTTACGTTGCATAAGATACATTTTCTCTTCTCTTTCTATAATTTATCTATTTATCTCTTTTAAAAGACGCTACACTTATGAAGTGTTGTTTATGTATAGTTTCAAGCAAAAACATATGGTTTCATTTTGCTTGTGTGTGTTAAGAACTTTGGGATACACCACCCCAAAAGCTAGCTCAAGGGGTGGGAGTGTCCAAGGCCTTATAAAGGTCATATTAGTTGCACATCCAATTAATGTGGGACTATATATCTCAACACGCCCCCTCACGCAAGAGAGCTTTAGGCTAGAAGCGTAGAAATTGCACAGGCCCATTTTTGTTTTTTGTGCTTTTTTATTTTATTTTAATTCCATTTTTTTAAAGAGGAGGATAGTGAGGCTCTGATATCATGTTAAGAACCTTGGGATACACTACCCGAAAAGCTAGTTCAAGGGATGAGAATGCCCAAGGCCTTATAAATGCCATATTAGTTGCCCATCCAATCAATGTGAGATTATATATCTCAAAAAAAGTGTGAAACCGGCGGGAAATCAAGTAAACTAGACGTGATCCAATCAAGAAATTACTTAGAATTAAAAACTTTTCAAAATCATATTTGGACCCTTTTGTATTGGAGTTTGTGTACCTGGCTTCCAAAGCAAAATAATAAAAATTTGTTTAACATGTAAAAGAGAATCTTCTTAGCTTCTTACCCACTTCATTAAAGATAGTAGCTGAAGAAGATTCTCTTCTGCTTGGCCTTGGCTCCTTTATCGCTCTTTTGGAGGGTGATTTTTTTTTCCTCCTCCTTTAAGCTTCGTGGGTTGTGTTCCCTTAATTTAGAGTCGCAGAATTGGAACTAAGATATTCCTTCCTTGGAGGCAAATATTTTATTCTATATGGTGAATGTCTCGTTTTTTAGATTAGATATTCGTACCCTTCTCTGAATGCACTCAAATTCATGACAATTATGCAACTTTTGGACTCAAAAGAGAAAGTTGCAAGGTGGATTGATACTAAAACCTATTTGAATATGTGCTTTCCCTCCCCCCTCTTTCTCTCACACTGTGTTGATAAAAATCATGTCGATGGTATATGCTCCACCACAATTCACAAAGTCTTTGCAATTAATTAATCATGATAGAATCATTAATTCCTGCTGCAACATCAATAGCATACATGGGTAAGGACACCCACAAGAACCACATTGCATAACACGTGGCCAGCATCTGGCATCATGCTCGTTTGATAAATGATTTTATTGGTCATTCCTTGAGCATGAGCTATAGCAAGTGCAACCATAATATACCATATAGTTACTCTGTCCTTCTGATCCAATTAAGAGCAAACATAATCCTACATATATTGTATGTTTAATCCTAATCTGTTGTTCAAATCCTTAAAGGCATTCATATTATAAATGATATTTGCAGCTTCACAAATTTTATCCCTTGATTTTTATCTTTAGTCTTTGTTTAAGATGGAGCAAGAGCATTTGATATTCATGATCACATCTATGCAGCCTTATCCTCGTATTTAATCCTAAAAGACTTTTGAAACAAAAACTAATATTGGATATATACTTTAAAGCAAAAAAAAAAATCTCATGGAAAGAAGAAAATATATTGAGGAAGAAAAGAAAAGGAACAGAGATAATAATACACTGTTAATGAAGTTTTGATTTGAAGTTGTAGGAGAATCTGAGTCTCATTTCCGCTTAACTCTAATGAAAAGAAAGCCAAAATAAAAAGAGTACAGGTGGGATAAAAAGAGAGAAAGGAGTAAAGGAAAAAAGGGGGGGTAATAGTAAGAAGAATCATCTTTTGTATTAGTGGTTTTTGAATTCGTACAAAGAACACTCAGAGGTTCTAAAACCAGGCTCTAAGCACATGACCCTCTAATGTCAGACTCTCTGATTCCTTCTCTCACAGCACCTCTTTCATTTTTTTACTTTAATTTTTTTGCATTGATTCTTTGTAGGAAGTTACTTCCCTCTGCTTTATCCCATGCTTTTTCTTTTGTCTCTCTCTTTCTCTCTCTTAAACCTGCTTTATTCCCTTTGAACTCACCACCCCTAAAAAGAAGACGATCCTCCCTCGATCCTCCTTGTGTTTACAAACAACATCGCCTCCCTTTCTCTTGTCTCTGTCTCTCTCTCTGTCTCTCTCTTTCTCTCGCCCCCACCAGAACTAGAAACTAAGGAAGAAGCCAAACACCCTCTTTTGCTCTTGTTTGTTCCTACATACCACCCTGTTCATATTTTGGCATATCTTAAACAGTGCTTGTTAGTTGTTATAGTTATACGTTAGAAAAATGGCTTCACCATCCGAACTAACCCTTGATTGCAAGCCCCATAGCTATTCCATGTTACTGAAATCATTTGGAGATCAAACTGATCAGACATACAAGCTTGAAGAGTTCCTTTCTCGCCTTGAGGAAGAACGTCTCAAGATTGATGCTTTCAAGCGTGAGCTTCCTCTCTGCATGCAACTTCTTACCAACGGTACACCTTCAAATCATCCTTTTACAAACATGCATAGCCAAAGCTAATTCAAAATCCCCCAATAAATTAATCAAACATACAGAATCCGAAACCTTAAAGATTCAAGCTAGCCATGCTGAAAATTTATATATACTATATACTATCAAACTCAATCTGTATATTTATTTATTTTTTCTGATTTTCCTATTAAAGTCTAATATTTAAAATTAACCTTTATCATCATCATCATCTTCTTCTTCTTTACTACCCTCAAATAGAAATGAGAAATAGCTTTTTCCTGTCTACACAATCATATATGTATATATATCTGTCCACTTTTATTTATCTGGATGCTAAGCATTGATAAGCCATGAATCCTTCTGGGTAGAAATAGCATGCAATCATAATTTCTTTCAATCTTCTTTTTTGTATACCTAACAATTTAGCTACCCTCATAATTCCTTTTGGTTGGAACAGCCATGGAGGCTTCAAGGCAGCAACTTCAGGCCTTCAGAGTAAATCAAAACACAAGGCCTGTTCTTGAAGAGTTCATACCCATGAAGCAATTAACCTCAGAAAGCTCAGAGAAGACAACAAATATATCTGATAAGGCAAATTGGATGACATCTGCTCAACTATGGAGCCAAGCAAGCGAAGGAACCAAACAACAATCCACAGTTACATCACCTAAAGAAGCTGATATTGGCTTCAGCATCAGCCCTAAGCTAAATATTCTAGAGCACAAACAGAGGAATGGGGGAGCCTTTCTCCCATTCTCAAAAGAACAACGAAACACATGCCAAGACTCTGCATTTCGGGCTCTCCCTGAGCTAGCCCTTGCCTCTGCTGAGCAAGAAATGGAGGAGAAGAAACGTGCAGAGCCAGAAAAGGGAGTTTCATGTCAGAAGAGGGAGAATTCAGGAAATGATGTAGCGGTAGTTGATCAAGGAAAAGGGAGTCCAGTTCCATCTCATGCACAAACAAACACTACTAACCAAACTCATAGGAAAGCAAGAAGGTGCTGGTCCCCAGATTTGCACCGTCGATTTCTTAATGCTCTTCAAATGCTCGGTGGATCTCAAGGTATATAACAATTTTAAGGTTAGCTAAAATACATAAAAAAAAAAAATCCTTTTAAATGAAAACAAAACTATAGCCAGTACAAATTTTTTTTTTTTCTCCAACCAGTTAATCCAAAATTCAACTAGTTTGATTTGAGTACTGTACTCATCATCAGACTTCTAAATAAAGGAAACAATTTCCTTATCTCTTTAACCAATGATTGTTTGTCACTGCCAGTATAATTATTCATTATGGTAATAAAAAATCTAAAACATCATAATCATATTACTGATTCACTAATGATTTAGTACAGTGGCAACCCCAAAACAGATTAGGGAGTTGATGAAGGTGGACGGTTTGACAAATGATGAAGTTAAAAGCCATCTTCAGGTATTTCTCTCTCTCTCTCCCATTGTGTGTGTCTGCATGTATGTACATAAGGCCAGTCTTGAAAGACCACTTTTTGTTGCTGCCGTTGTTGTACTGTTATTCTTTGCAAACCTGACAACGTACCATTCTGCATTTTCCAAACAAACTTTTTTTTTTTTTTTCTTTTTCTCGTGTTTCCCAAAAATTTCTCATTCGATTCGATTTCCTATTTTTGTTAACAGAAATATAGGCTTCACACAAGAAGACCCAGTCCAAGTCCACAAACAGGTGCACAACCACCACAGCTTGTGGTTCTAGGAGGAATCTGGGTCCCACCGGAATATGCCGCCGCCCATACAGCCACCACTGCCCTCTATGGCGCGCACCCTTCCTCCCACGCGCCACCACCGCATTACTGTGCTGCAACCCCAGTGCCCCAAGAGTTCTACACCACCGCGCCGCAGCAGCAGCTGCTTCCGCCGCCTCTGCCGCACCACAACGCCTTCCGTCAGCATCGCCACCACCTGAACATGTACAAGACTACGCCACACGGCCAGGGCTCGCCGGAATCCGACTTTCCCGGAGGTGGGGATCCGTCGGAGAGTATTGAGGATGGGAAGTCGGAGAGTAGCAGCTGGAAGGGAGAGAGTGGTGAGAACGAAGGGGAGAGAAAAGGGTTGGCTGAGGAGAGCAATGGGAGTGAGATCACTCTCAAATTCTAGGGTTTTATGATTTTAGAATTAGGGTTTTCCTTGCATGCTCCTCCCATGCACCTTGATATATTCATCATTCAACAAGAATGGGGGAAAAATAAATAAACTAATTAAATAGAACAAAATATATTAGGTGTTCTTGTTACATATATTTCTGTAGTAAAGATTGAGTGAAGTTGGTACAAAGGCCATTAAAGTGAGCATTTGTTTTGTTTTGCTATGCAAGGAAGAATTGGATTTTGACTCTTGTCATTTTCTGGGTTACGAAATTGCCCTTAATTTTTTTAAATGATAATAATATTCACAACAGAGTCTATGGAAGTATTTTCCCAACCCCAAATATTTTTGAAGTCCGAGTTTGTTAATTAGTGATTAATATTTAGGTTTTATAAGAGTTATGTTGTAGAAAAAGTGACTGTTTAATGTTATAGAGATTCGTTTTGCGTGCCGTAATTTTTTTTTTTCAAAAAGTGTGAGCCCCACAAGATGTTGTGTGTGTAAAAAAATTTATTGTGTCATATTAAATGATAAATCAAATCCCTTAATATTTATATAAGAGAAACCTTTTGCCTGGGGGGTTTCCTATTCCATTTGATATGACGACTCATTGAAAGTTTTATGTAAAAACAATTCTAATGTACATAATCCTTTCCGTATGATTAGATGGGTAAACTCCTTTACTTGCACATGAATCCTCAAAGTTAACCAACTGATATAGTACTACTAAACTCGCATCGATCATTAATTCGGTTTAATGTATAGAATTAATGGATAATTGGTTCAATTAATGAATCATCGATTAGATTAGTTGAATTAAAATATAAAATAATATATAATAATCATGACTATATTACTAATATAATACAATGGCTTAGTGGTAACGGTCACTCATAACCTTCATCATGTGCTAGGTTTAAGTCCCTCATTGTTATTGGAGAAACTGGTTCAACAAAAATATCGGTATTGGTTGAGTACCATGATTAAGGATTGATTTACCAACACTGACCAGTTTGCTAGCGTGGCATATCTAATGATTGAATCAGACCAATCGATCCAATCCGATATATATGTTAGGTTATTCAAGTGCGAGTAGTCTCGTATTGATTGGTAATGAACTAAATGAAGTGGATATAAGTGGGAGGACCTATCAACCTAATGTCTTAAGGTTTTGGGTTGAGATGTGGTATCAGATTCATTTGCTACGGTTGGTATAGCTTAACCCGTTGGTGGTGGTCTCCTGCCATGAGCTTCCTTTGGACTCACCTGACAGTGGTATCAGAGTCGGGTTGGGCTTGGGATAGTCAATGTTTGACTAGGAGGCGAGTTGAGTACTTTGGGCCTAGGTACTCAGTTGAAAAGGAGCATACCAATATTGGGTTTCACACTTGACAGGGAGATTGTTGGGATATTCAAGTGTAATTATCACATTGGTTGGTAATGGGCTAAGTGAAATGGATATATGTGGATGAATCCATGAACCTAATGCCTTAAGTTTTTGGGTTGAGATGTGGTGTCGGACTCATTTGCTACGGTTGGTGTAGTTTAGCCCATTGGTGGTGGACCCTCGTTATGAGCTCCCCTTGGACCCTCCTGACAGTGGTATCAGAGCCGGGTTGAACTTGAGAGTTTGGATAGGAGACAAGTTGAGTACTTTGGATCTGTATACTAAGTTGAGGGGGAGCATACCAATATTGAGTTTCACACTTGAGTTGGAGATTGTTGGGATATTCAAGTCTCACGCTAGTTAATAATGGACTAAGTGAAATGGATATATGTGGATGGACCAATTACCAACCAATGTGAGACTTGACACACTTGAATATTTCAACAATATATATATATATATATATATATATATATATATATATATATATAGGCAGGATCCTTTGACACCGGTGTCAAAGAAAAAGTTTGACACCTCATCTGAGGACCATTAGATTAAAAAAAATCAATGGTGTCACATGTTTACAAATCAAAATCGTTGATTTTTTTTAATCTAACGGTTCTCAGATGAGGTGTCAAACTTTTTCTTTGACACCGGTGTCAAAGGATCCTGCCTCATATATATATATATATATATATATATATATAGACATATATAGACACACGTTGAATTCTTTATGGAACTAAAAAGCTAGTTAATTATATTTTTTTCCTTTCTTAATTCTACGGGTTATTTTCGGTCGAAGTATAAATTCCAAAAAAAATTGGGATAAGTGTGGATTGAAATTTTTTTACCCATCTAGTATAAAGCTCTATATGGTATCCTAACAAACTGGCAGCTTTATATAGTGAATTATTAAAAAAAAAAAAAAAAGTGGTGCTCATGACAACACTCAGTGGAATGCGTTGTCTCATGCTGCTTTGTCGATGAGATCTCTGACATGCTTTCTCTAGGAGGCAGAGCTGCTCAAATGGATGTGTTAAAGTGACGCTTTAACCGGTCTAAGGGCACCGAAAATGGAGAAGTATTATCTTTCAAAGTTAACCACACCACGGGTCTTCTCTCAAACACGTTAGCCACACTATTGCTTCATTCGCCTTTTGAAAATCAAATTAGTATTTCAGTTTTGACGTAGCATACGATAGCATTCGCACTCAATTATCCAGAGTCTTGAATGTATATCAGGGGTTACCCGTCTATGTTGGGGAGCTACTGTACCTTGCAGCTAAATACTCTCTTTATTTCTGAAATAACCAAGATAAAATTTGTTTGGATTAGGTAAACTTCACTTTGTTTGCTAAGCCTATGTTATACCCACAGAATCTATTTCGTGCAGCGAAATATAATAAGTTTTAAATTTTTATGCAACACGTTATAAAATATATTTGTCCCATTAAATCGACCAAACTAGACAGGCCCCATCTACCAAGCCATGGTCAAGCAAATTTTCCATTCTCACGATTCAGAATTCTGATTTACTTCTTAAAAAGACAATCCATATTTAATTGCACTTAACAACTGGAGGAACTCGGATAATTTGCATGTTCAATTTTATTATCGCCATTGTACCACGAAAATACATGGCACTCTATACTCTATAATCCGTGCCATGCAACAAGAGTAAAAAATAGAGCCCCCAAATCTGCTCTGACCAACCAGTCAAGCACAGATGACAAGAAACATCTAGCTAGTAGCAAGTGCGCTTACCAACCTATCAGTCGAGTGGAATTTTAGTAGTACCATCCACAGCGTGTATAATCCAGTGAAAATTTAAACAGCAAAAGTTACACTAACCAAATTTCCCAGCAAAAATTATGTGCTAAACCCACCTTGAGCATCATTGACACAATCTGAAAACCTCAAAAGAAAGATTTCTATCTACCATCAAGACTTCCATTTGTGAGTTGTCCATCCTTTAAGCCAACACCATCACCATCACTATCTAACATTGCTGTATCAACTAGAGCCTGCAAGCCCAAAAAATTTAATTAGCATATCCACTAGCCCAAGTTCATCAAATCCATTTGGGACAACTGGAAATGGAGAAGAGGGAAGATAGCAACTGGGATTTTAGAAGCAACTGAATTCACTATATTTAGAAGACAGCACCAAACAAGACCGTATTCACAACTTCAAATCAATAATGATGAGCGAACATCAGAGATCTTTCAAATCTCAACAGTTTCCTATTTCAGCCACTTCCTTGATAACGAGGAATTGACCTTCTAATAGCTGCTGTTGCATTTTCTTTACGACTTTACATCACATGTATTTTAATTGCTCCATTTTTTTTTGTCACAGCAATTTATGGTATAAAATGGTTTTCTTTTGGGTCGCTTTATGAAGCTTAATTAATGGTGGCAATTGCTTTAGTTGATGTTTTTCTTGTTTTTCCAAGCCTTTCGTTGGATATCTTATCATATTTCTCTAACTTTCTATAATAAAATTTCTTCTATAAAAATAAATTGCATGTCATTAGCTTCTTCTATAAAAATTTCTTAACAATTTGAAAAGAATAACACGCAAAAGAGAAATACCATGGAAAAGATAAAAAATAGAAACAAAGGGGGCAAAAACATTGTGAAGCTACAGAAAAAGAATCTTAAGAAGACATGTCTTGCATACAACTGCCATATAATGATTCTATGTTGACAGACAGAATTAAAGGAAGCACAACAACTTGAACAATAAATGGAGCATTTGTCACATAAGACTGCATAAATTTCATCTAACAGCATGCATAAAATCATATGAAATTGTAAAAATAGTATCCAAGATCACATTGTAAAATGTAAACACTCAACAAAACACACATAATTTGCAGTTTCATATATAAATCAGAATTATATGACATTAAGACACTAGACACAAACCTGAAGTTCTCTTTCACTGGTTTTAAGACTTTCCATGCAATCTTTCACTTGCGCAAAACATTTATGCAGCTGAAGATCATTTGCCCAAACCCAATGTCAGCAATAGTATTCATGAATTTGACGTTAGAATAGATACTCCAAGTCTCTAATGTAGGACTATGAGTCTATGACAACTAGTTATTACCTTGGTCAACTGCATCTGACGATTTGAAGTGTGTTTCTTCACATTGATCAGTGAATCCTCCAGTTTCTGCAGTATATATATTCTAGGTCAGAATATAAAACAGATTTTGTGTTCAGAGTAGGGACAAGCAATTAAAAGTATAATAAACAAGCTCAAATTTTGATGCTTGGAACTAAGAGAGAAGGTACCCTAGACTGCTTTTGTAACTCCATAACAAGAAGTCTTTTCTCTTCCAATCTCTCTTCTATCTGAGAAACCTGACATGCCAAGGAATTGTACTTTCCATCACCATAAGCACACAGAAGAGGTAAGAATAACATATAAAAGACTAGACGACTTGATGAATTGGAAGAATTTCAAAGTATGTGATATCCTAACTCATCATATCAATATACCTCCAGAAAATGCAAATGTTCAGAATAAAACATATGTCACACTATCATGAAGCAGCCTAATAGTGTAGACTTGATCATTTAACAAATTTCCATTAATCATTCATTTAGTTCTAAAGAGATAACAAACCTCCTTTTTTAGTAAATCAAGCTGTTGGGTTGACCTCTCTAGTTGATCGTCTACCTGAAGTCCACACAAATAAGTAAAAATAAAATAAAAATGCGCCACAATCAGCTTCAGTTTATTTTATGCCATCATGCTATCTGAACAAGAAATTTGCAAACGCTAACATTACAGAAATTCACACAAATGAGAAATTATCACATCACCTGATCATTGTGATCACCATCTGATTCCGATGAAGGATCCATGCTGTGTTGATTTGCAACATTCAAACTGCAGGGAAAACAGTAATAAGTTTGGCGAAAGGAAGGTTTATGCAACATAAGTGAACAAAAAGGAATAGTTGGAAATTAACTGATGTCAAGGAAAAATGATGGAGGAGAACTTACTCAATGTTTCTCCTTGAATGCTCTTTTCTATCCTCATCAAAACTTCTATCAGGATCACTGGTCCTATCCATCTTCCTATCTGTATCCAAATCTAAGTTGTGGTCTCTATCCACATCTCCACCATGTGCCCTGCTGTTTTCTTGTTGATTTTCTGCCCGATCATCCCCTCGACTCCAATCATTATCCAACATAGGTTCTCTTCCTTGATCATAATCATGCATTTGATCAAATTTTCTATCCCTGTCGCGGTCGCGGTCTCGAGACCTATCACGCTCTTGAGACCAATCACCATCCCGATTCCTGTATTCATCCTTGTCATTATCATGATCATAATATCGGTCTCGGTCTCGATCTCTACCACGATCCCAGTCTCCATTCCTCTCGTCATTATGATAATAATAACGTTCTCTGCCAAAATTTGATCTCCCTGCACGAGTTCTCACCCCATTAACTTTAACCACTCGCCCGTCCACGGTCTGATTCAGAGTAACAGAGTGTCAAAGGCCTTAAACCCTTAACCACAACAATCATAACCAAATATTACTCCCTCCCTTTTTCAAAAACATTATAAAAAAGAGGACAACAAACATGTACAAGGTGCATTGAAGAAATATTACATACTCTGCCATTCATGTCGTGGATGGCATCCATTGCTGACCTAGGATTTGTGAAAGTAACAAAACAATAGCACTTTCCCCTAGTGCGTTGGTCATTAATAATCTGAAGTAACAAAAAAAAAACTTGGCGATAAAAATGGAATCCCAATTCTTGGAATCGATTATTTGTGACGGGAATTAAATAAACAAGAAGCTGAAACCCTGACATGGTTAAAACCCTAAAATAGATAGAATTAAAAAAAAGTGTGTGTGTGTGTGTGTGTGTGTGTGTGAGAGAGAGAGAGAGAGAGACCTTGACGTCAAGGATGGCGCCATACAAATTGAAGACAGTGCGAATGGTATCTTCGGTGGCGTCGTAGGGGAGACCCCCAACATATATGGAGCTATCGTCGTCCATCGTCATTTTTTTTCTCTCCCTCTTTTCTGCTATCGATCTTAACACTTCAATTCTTTGCTTCAATTCTTTACTGAAAACTCACATTTTCTCTTTCACCTCCTTCTATCATTTCTATTCTTTGATTCAAACTTGAAACGCGCTTCTCAGTCTTCCGTCCCTTACTTTGCCTACTGCAACTATCTAATTCACTAAAATTCTCTTTTTCCAAATCACTGGGGCTCTCTTATTTCTAACTTTTTTAATCAAGGAACGTTTTGTAGAGGAGGAGATATTATTTTTTATCACGTAAATACAATTATCATAATACGGTAGTAAAGTTAAAAAAAAAAATTGTTTGGTTAGTGAAAATTTTATCACAAAAATGGGGTTAATTTTTGTGAGTCTTTATTTGGTTGAAGGTAAAATAATGATATATAAATGTGTTGAAATACCAAAAATAACCCTTAGTCTATATTTCAGAGATGTAAACATGTGTACTTAGAAGAGGGTAATATGGTAACACTATTCATTTACCTTTTTGCAATTTAGCTAGTTTTCTAAATATACCACGTTCAAAATGGTAAAGTTTTACCGTGATTTATGGAAAAAACAGAAGCATGACTAATTTTTTTAATCTTTCTATCAAACAAAGCAATCATGGAATGCCAATTCAAGATGGATGGGGAACCAAACGCCTCCTAAGGTGGTGTTTGCTTTTGAGCTTTTCAACGGATATCTATGTTTCTCAAGTATGGCTTTTAGAAACACCATGTTTGTTTTAACGTTTTTCACCAAAAATCCATCTATCCAATTTGTCTGAATTTATGAGAAACATAGATATCCGCACTGTTTAGAAACCCAATTTGAAGGTGGAATTTTTCGGAAAACCGGTTATCTGACTTTTAATGCACTGTTGATTTCGTAAAGTTACCTAATTTTTCCAGTAAAATTTTTCCCCACCAAATAACCTTTTTTTACATTTCTCTACCTATCTCACTTTATCTATCTTTCCAATCATTTCAAAAAAAATATGGATCCCACTTCAATTTTGTTTCTCTTTTCCTATATAATGAGATCCACATAAAATTATGAGAATATAATCCCTTATGAGAATATAATCCCTTTTATTAATTAACGGCTTCAAATTTCATAAGAAACCATACTTTATATTTGTAATTAATGTTGCATATATATATATATATATTGAATTTAATGGATGATCGTTTGATTAATATTACATCAATACCCAGTGGGTGCAGCTCAGTTGGTAACTTGGCGCTGAGTTAGTGGGGTTGGATATGTGTTCGATTCCCGCTGAATACATTCTTCGGGAGGGGGCTGAACCTTTAGCCATCACTGTTCCCCCGCACTCCGGATTAGTCCCATAGCTGGCTCAAAGAGTCGAAGCTCGTGGGGATACCAGAGGAAGCCAACTCGTCTCAAAAAGATAATTAGGGTTGGGTAACTCCAAAAAAAATAAAAAATATATACGTCGGTCAAATGTTATAGATATGTTGACACTTTATAAACACATTTATATTATTATTATTTTTTGGTAAATATATTAATTAATTTCAATTCTTACTTTAGAAATTATCATTAGTTAAACATAACTTTACCAATAATAATCTAATTAATTAATTTTTGACTAAAATACTAACTTACTTGATTGAAGATGTTTTGAGAAATTAAAATTAGTGAGAAATGAAAAATAATAATTATGCAATAAATTTACTTTTCTCCACCTTTAAAAAAAATGTGATATTGACCTTAAGTTGAGATACTGTTAATGTCTTTCTCTACTAGTAACCTGCTCACGTAATAATAATAATAATTTTTTCTATATATATAGATATACATATATATATATATATATATATATATATATCCTAGCTGGTTCAAAAGAAATATTATAACTACTGAGTATTTGGTATCTGGTTGATAATAAAAAAAATGATATTTTTTAAAAAGCATGCAAAAAAAATTAAAAATGTACTTCTTTAAAATAATAATAATTCAAACACTGTAATTAAAAAATTATTATATACCTAAGCATAGACAGAAGTAACATATTGAAAAAAAAATATTTAACAAATATTATTATTGTATCAGTTATTATTAAAAAGGTCAATTGATTTATATATTTTAATGAATTTTTTGTTTTAGTTTTAGTTTTTTATGGGAATATCTATCCCTCGTCTCGAAGAAAAGGCGAGCTACACCCTCCTTCGGGCAACACCTTCCAGCCCAGTAGCATGGTCCAATAATAGACGATAGAAATTTATGACCCAACTAGTCAATTGCTGAAGAACCTCCTACAGTTGCTTTGTTGTGACTTTTGGCCCCCAAAATAAAACTTGCTATTTGTGACTTGTGAATGTGTCCTGTGTTCACACAGGTTTTTCTTCTTCTTTTCTTTTTCTCAAAATCTAATTTATTATCTCCAACTTAAAATTTTGAAACTGTTAGAGCACAGCTCTACAAGAAAGAACAAAATAGAGAAAAAGAATTTGATTTTACTATTCAAATATCAATCTAAGAGAGGAATTCAAAAAAATTTGACCATCTTATCCCTGTTTTTTTCTTTGATTTTCCCTTTTTACCCCATACATATGAGATGGAGCACCTACAAATTCTATGGGCTGGATCATAGAAATACTTCTCCTATTTGTTATGGAATCAAATGATGGGTCGGTTCACAGAGGGCAATTGATTGAGAGGACTAAGGAAAGAATTTGCATACTAAAATATCGATATTTCCATATTTTTAGCATATTAGACATTGGACTCCAATATTTTAAAGAAATCCAGAATTTCACACTCTACGTTCTTTGTCTTAGTTATTACTGTGAACACATTTCACGCTCTGGCTATGCTGCTTCTTATAGTGCATGATCTACAATTTTCTTTATTGTCTTTAAGGTATCTTTCTCATAAATATTAGAGAACACATTGATCCTATATTGAGTAATCAATCTCTCGTTGGACATCCCCGATCCACCTAGGATCGAAAACTATTATATTATTAATCATCTTATTTCAATGAAATTATAACTTTTACGCTACTCTTACGTTATTATTTAAGTACAATATTTAAGGTTTTATTAATGTTATGTTACATAACTTAAGTTTTGTTTCCAATACACACAATAAAAGGGAGAGAGAAAATGGAATGATGAAAGAAAAAAAAAACATGTGGATCTCACATTTTTAATGTGTGTGTAAAAAAGTGAAATTGTGTTATGTTACATTATAAACATAAAACTTCAATATTTAACCAATTAAACTGCAGTACAAGATCAAAATTTCCAAAATTTCAGCCTATAAAACTCCCATTGCACGCAATGGACCAACGGGTCAAATCAAACCCAAGTAATAGCGCTCTCGTACTAGTTACTAGCTATATAAATAAGGGTTTTTTTTATCATGTTACATGACAACAAATCATTTTCTTACATTCATGATATATGTGGGGTTTATTAAATAGTGGAGTAAAAAAAAAAATCAAAAGTGAGACTCAGCTTAAATTGTGTATATAAAAAAATTGGTTTGTTGTCATGTAACATGACAAATCATTTTCCCTATAAATGTTTGCTTTCAAGTGCAAAGATTGCAATGATATATTATTATATTTTATTGGGAAATTCTCTAGCTATTGACATTCAATTGTCTCGTCTAATCCTCCCGCATGTCTGACCAAGAAAATATAAATCCTGCTCATTACTTCATCTTCATGCATATCTTACGTAACATCTTTTTAAGGTAAGCAGCAGATACCGATAGTCATAGACGGTATATGAAGAGTTGAGAATTGGTTTGGTATAAGAGGGGTTTGGTTTCTTTTTCCCTTTACTATCCGCTTTAGTGATTGCTAGAATGGTGGAAGAAGTTAGTGTTATGGTTGATTAAACTTAGTCAGAATTGGGCTTTAGCATGTTGTGAAACCCTCTGGGTATTTAATCTGTTCACACTTTCTCTCCTCCTCTCTCCTTATTAGGTACATAGTTGAGGTCTCTCCCTCCTGATCTTGCATATACTCAATTGTCCGCTGATATCAGAAAATAAAATTTTCTTAGCTACCTTTGGCATAAAAAGAAATGACGACGAAGGATTTTTCTTTCAGGTGCTGTTTGGTTGGGGCTTCTGAAAAGTTGTCCATGCAAATGGTTGTGGGTATCGTCAAAAGCCTTGTTTGGTAAGCTGATTCTTAAAATTTACCTACCTATTCCACTTGCATAGCAAAGCATGTTTGGTCGTAGAAATCCATCATTTTTCCCTGTTAAGAAAGACATCTTCAACATGGTTTTTTGTTAGTTAGCGAAGTAAATGAGAAAGGGGAATCATGACCCAGACCAAAATACCCCTGTGAAGAGCAAAGTCTGAGATCAAACTCTACCTTTGCCTTAGCAACCGTAGTTACTCTTTCATCGCCGAGAAGCAAACCTCTGAAACTGAAACCCGTCGTTGTTTTCTCCTTCAAAAGGCACCATTTTTCCCGAAACAAACAAGACCCAGAAGCAGAAGAAACATTTCCCTAACACCTCCACGTGTTGCTGCGCCACCCACAACAATTGAATCGGATAAACCATTCCCCGAAACGGAAAGGAGCGAAATTGAAGACGAGTTTGGCGATAAGAGCTCGTCCTCGAAGTTCTCTTGGAGGGATCATTGGTACCCAGTTTCGTTAATTGAAGATCTGAACCCTCGCTATTCCACACCGTTTCAGCTTCTGGGTCGTGAAATCGTGCTCTGGTATGATAACTCCAAATCCCAATGGGTTGCTTTCGATGATAAATGCCCCCATCGTCTTGCTCCCTTGTCTGTATGTGTACTTCTTCTTCTTCTTCTTTTGCCAATTTCTTTTTCTGAAGATTAGATTGAAGTTAGATTCCAACATAAGAACATGGAAAAAAGAGGACTTGTTTTGTGATCAAAATTGGGTTGTTTGTTAGTTTACAGGGTCGCATACCTGAATAAGAAATTCGACGGCGATTGATGTGGTTTTAAAATAAGGATATTTTCGTAATTGTCACTTATTTTTTCATCTATATTTTACTTCAAACCAAACATAGACTTTATAAATCTTACCTAATTTGCCCGGTAAATTTTTTTGCAACCAAACAACATTTTTTACATTTTCCTATCAAATTCACTTTCCAACCATTTCCCTATCAATTATATTTCCTTAGTATTCAAAAAATTTCTCCTCAAC